TGACCGAAATGGAATATTTTAGAAACACGTGAGCCTGGACGACAACGTTGGCAAATCTGGCTTCTAAGCCTGAGGTTTGCCAGGCTGGGATGAGGCAATGGGCTGGCTGGAGGCCACTGGGTGACTGACTGCCAGAGCTCAGTTAGGAAACTACCTGTAGGGTAACCTACCTGTCCTGTCCCTCTCCAGCTGGACACTTGGCCACACGGCCCATGCGAGAGGACTCTGCCATGTCTTGCAAGGTGGTTTTTACCCTTTAGCACCAAATGAGAAAGTAGTGCCTTCCACGGAGGGGGGGGGAGGGGGGGGGGGCAACGTCCCTGACCAAACTGTGCAGCACAGATGCCAGGGTGGGTAGTGCCACCAGAGAGTAGAAAGTAAGTGCCATTGGGCCTTTCAGCACAGCCTAGGTGCTTAACTGACCCTGATGCTTAGCGACATTCAAAGGGCCATTCAGACTTATCTCCCGTTTCTTTGCTGTTGGGGGGAAGAGGTTGGGCTCTGCAGGCTGAACTTTTAGCTAAGACTGTCACTTGTCTCCTAATGTCTTTCCTGCAATGACTGTCCCCTTAATCCATACCCACAATGCTCTTGGTGTCACCAACTCCCCACGCTTTCCTTGCCATGACTCCCAAGAGAGCACGCAGAGCCATGGAGGAGATGTGGCCAGAGGGACCAGGAACTGTGTCCCCAGCTCAGGTTAATCCTGTCGGGGAAGACGGAACAGGCCTCAGGCCAGTGCCCAGGCAGGTGTGAGCGGACGTCAGCCAGGGGCGGACACACGGAACGGCAGCTTCAGACTCGCTCGGGCCCCCGTAGGAACCAGGGTGTCTTGCTGTGGGTGCCAGGACTTGTGAATCTTCGGTCTCCATCCCAAGGGCACCTGATAAGTGTAGCTTTTCCGCAGCACCTGTGAGAGCTTCCACCCACCAAGTGAGAGGCAACAACAGAGGTGAGGTGCTTACAAATAAAAACGCTCACCAAGCTAGGGGCCCCCTCGAGGTGTTTTGGAACAATTTCATGATAGGACTTCGGGGAGTCTGTCTGAAGAAGAGAGCAGGGATGCTATGGAAGATGAGGGCAGCAGCGTTAGCTCTGCTGGAGCACCGCGGGCCCCCATCCCGCCCTTTGCTCTGATGGTCACACTCACACACACACACACACACACACCCCTTCCAAGGCAGCGGCATCCAGGGAAGGACATTGGATCCCCTCCCCCCTTCCTCCTACTTGACGACTGGAGGTAGAGGATACATTGTGACAACGGCCAAGCAGCTGAACAGAAGGACCCTCTGTCCTTGGTGATGAGATGTGAGGCTCCCCGCACCCCCATAGCTTAACCATCAGGACTGAGGTCTAAGCCCTCCTGTGTCAGCACGACTTACTGTTTATGTAGGAAATTCTTGTTCAGGAAGACCAGGCTGTAAACCAATAAATAACTTCACTGTTTGCCTCAGGAAATCATGAAAACTAATTTCTGGTTCATCTTGGCCAACAGCCCCCTTCTCAGGATGACAGATTGCTCACTTGGGTACACAGCCTGTTTATCAGACAATTGTTTACGCATCAAGACTCAATATTCAAGGTTGTGTCCACCAGGCCTAATGTACATCACAAACTTGGCCTGGTCCTTCTTAGATCCCACCTCGAACACTGGAGCTGAGACCCCGCCCCCTGCAACCTCCACCTGAACTTCTCTCTCCTGACCCACCAGGAGTGTCTTCAGGTTGGCTCTGCTCAGGGTGGTGCGTTCCCTACCGCACCTCCGCTCCGGTCCATTGGCAAGAGTTTCTGGTGGTCTTTGGGGGGAGTTGGCAGTCAGTTGAGAGTGATCATGCAGACACCATACCAATCCTGGACATAAATTCCAGGGACATAAATCTCCGTGTTGTCGTGATACTTTTACTCGGGGGTTTCGGTCACTGGCAGCCACACCTGATCCGGCACACTCTCCACTTCTGCTTCATACCACACGCGTCCTTATGCCTCAAACAGGGTCTGACCTACGCTAAGAGCTCTGTGCCCACATGTCAAAAGGACAAGGCCTGGATCTTTGCCTTTAACTCTGTAGCATGGTGCTCGGCAGTTTCTTATAGACTTTGGACACTTGCCTGATAAAACTGGGTTTTTTTTTGAATCCTCACCCGAGGACATTTTTCTATTTATCTTCAGATAGAGTGGGAGAGAGGGAGGGAGAGAGGGGGAGAGAGAGAGAAACATCTAAGTGAGAGAGACACATTGACTGGCTGCCTCCTACACAACCCCAACCAGGGCCAGGGATGAACCGCAACCGAGGTGTGTGCATTTGACTGGAATGGAACCTGTGACTCTTTGGTCCGAGGGCCGACACTCTAACCACTGAGCAAAACCCGCCAGGGCTAAAACTGTTTTAAAAACAATCAAACACAGTATAACTTATACATCTAAACAAGTGTTGTTTCCTTCAAATTGTTCACCTGGGGCTCTCATCCTGTATCTTAATGACACAGTTATTGCTTGAGACATTTTCAGAACCTCTTTTGTAATTACGTCTTGTCCTCGGTGGTGACAAACCATCTTTTTGTGAAAAATATTTTATTATGGGTAGTTTCAGACATATACAAAAGTGGACAGAATAATATGATACACAATTATCAACTTAGGACAAGTCTTATTTCATCCAGGCCCTTACTCCTTCCCTTTTTTTTTTTGGTCTGGATTACTTTGAAACTAATCCCAGAGATCACATTTTTTTCCTCAGAAATATTTCAGCTATCCCACAAGATAAGGCCTCTTTTAAAAATACTAGCCATAATACCATTACCTCACCTAAAAATTAATAATTAAAAAAATCTTCACCTTAGGATATTTTCTATTTATCTTCAGACAGAGTGGGAGGGGGGCAGGGAAGAGAGAGAGAGGGAGAGAGAGAGAAACATCCACGTGAGAGAGACATGTCGACTGGTTGCCTCCTGCACGATCCTGACCAGGGCCAGGGACGAACCGCAACCGTCATATGTGCCCTTGACCAGAATTGAACCTGCGACTCTTTGGTCTACGGGCAATGCTCTAAGTGCTGAGCCCAATCGGCCAGGGCAAAAATTAGTAATTTCTTAAAATCATTATATGATCAACTAGCATTTAAACTTTCCTATTTTATAAATTTTTTTTTTGTTAATTCTTACCTAAGGATATTTTTTTCCATTGATTTTTTAGAGAGAATAGAAGGGAGGGAGGGAGTGGGGTGGGGAGAGAGAGACACACATCAATTGGTTGCCTGTCACACGCTCCCTGATGGTGGCGGGGATTGAACCTGCAACCCAGGTATTTGCCCTTGTCTGGGAATCAAACCCACAACCTTTAGATGCACAGACCCGCACTCTAACCACTAAGCAATACTGGCCAGGGCTTTTTTTTTTTACTGTTTTATTTGTTAAAATTAAGGTGGGAATACAGTTCCCATATTGCAGTTGGTTGATATCTCAGGTCTGTTTTTCTTTAAAATCTTTAATTGAAATATAACATAGAAACAAAGCCTACGGATCCTAAGTGTATGGCTCAATGAATTTCCCAATCTCTTTTAATCTATAGGTTGGCCCTTACCCCAATTTTTTTCTTTTGGAATTTATCTCGTAAAGAGTATCTGCCATGTAGTTTCCCACGGTCCGTCCTTGGCTGGTTGCTTGTCCACGGTATCATTTGGCATGTTCCTCTGTTCTCTCTTTCTTGGAAATTGGTGATTACATCTAGAGGCTTATCAGATCAGGTCAGTTTTTGGTAAGACCATTGCATAGATGCTACTGTTTACTCCTATCAATAGGCTCATCATTCCCGGGACGCCTCTTTCTGAAAGCATCTTTTGAAGGTGGATGTGATGTTACAAACAGGCAAAAAAGCCAAACTGCCTAGTGAGCAACGGGGACGATAAGCTGGAAAATGGTTTGAATTGAAAAGGTGTGACCAAGTACTGAATGATTTTCTAGTGAGGTTGGTAAACTGGTCCTGAAGGAAATTCCAAAACAGCTCCAAATATATTCTGTGCAGTGGCGGCTGCAAATGTAGACACCCAGGGTGACTAATGCGAATGGAACAACAGTGACATTGATGGAGAAATTACACATTGATGGAGAAACTACACGTTGGTTATAAAACCAGCCCTGCTGTGTGGGTGGACACGTGTGGTGCCCCTCTCTAGTTATCAGCTCCTCTTAAGGGCTCCTAAATGTCACAGTGTGTATCACACTTGTTTTAAAGTCGAAGCTGGAACCCCGGTTCTCTTGATGCATGCGCCCTCATCTCCCCACACCCCCAAAGGGCAGACCCTGGCTCCTGGCTCTTGTCTTAGTTTCATCCCACAGCCTGGACCTGTTGACAGGTTGCTGCTGGGTCCCACCCAGCCCCTCCCCAGCCCTGGAGTTTGCTTCATCGGCGAGAATGTGGTCAGGGCACTGCAGGGGAAGCCTGCTGCTTCTGAGCAGTCAACAAAAAATGAGGAAGCACGAGGGACCTGCAGCTCCGACCAGACTCGGGGCAGGGTCTCCGAGGGCGGACTAGCCAGCAGGCTCGGGCTACTTCGACACCCTGCAGACTTCCCTGTTCCAGTTCAGCGGAACTGCTCCCGGCAACAGCTCGCAAACTCCCTTTGTGTCTCGCCCCGCCCTCGCCCTGGTCCCGCCCCGTGACGTAAACAGGGCGGGGCCAGCGTCCTTGAGCGAGGCCAGCCAGACCTCCGAGCCGAGCCCTGCTCGAAGCCCCTCCCACGCCCGCCAGCCCGGTGTTGGCGCCTGCGCAGCTCGCCCCGGCCACGCTAGTCCCATCCCCCCCCCGTCCCTAGCAACCGCGGTCACGCCCGCCTCCCCCACCTCGGCCGCGTTCGCGCACGCGTTCGGCTTCCGGCCCCGCGGCCCCTCCTTCCCCGTCACCCGTAACAACCACTGGAGCCTCGCCGCGCCCCGCCTGCTCCCAGCACCCCCCGCCCACTCCCCGGAACCGGTGGCGGAGCTCCGGCCGCGGCCAGTGGGTCCGCCACGGCACCGCGGAGCCGCCAGGATGAGCGCCTCCCGCCGCCCCGCGTCCCGGGCCTTCTGACAGAGGTAGGAGCGCGTAGCCGCGCCGGGTTCCGAGAGCGCCCCCGGCGCGGCCCCTCCCGGGGGTGCGGGCTCTCGCCGCCGCCTGCGCGCCCGGCCTGCCCTTCCCGGCCCCCCGGCTCCCCTCGGCGCAGGCCCGGAGCCCGAGCCGGCCCTTCCCCGCGCCTGGCCCGCTGCCCCGCGTCCCTCGCCGCTCCCCCTGTACCAGTCGCCGCCTCCCCGCCCCCACCCCGCCCGCCTCCCCACTCCGCGACCCTCCTTGTGGGCGGAGAGTTTGGGGGCCGAGCCGGTCCCAGGCGCACCTCCCCGGGGCGGCCGGGGCTGGGGGCCCGCCGGAGCCGCCGCGCTGCGCCCCTGACCGACGATCCGAGGGCCCTTGGAGCCTGCTCGGTGGACTCACTGGGTCTGGCCGTTGGCTCATTTTTAAGGACCGGTTGTCGGGCAGTCGAGGCTGCCCCGGGCCAGGATGCCACTTTCCACCTAGGACGTCCCCTGGACCGGAGCATCCGAAGCTGGGACCTGGCAGCAGCCCAGAAGCTGGTGCATCAGCCGCGTGGTCACTTTGGGTTCTGCGGGGCCGCGAGTCCTGAACGGATGTCACAGTGCCCCCCACCCCCACCGCCTTTTATACCCGAGGGTCACCTTCCTCCCTATCGGCAGATACCCTACAGCAATTTTCCCCGTTAATTTTTGAGATGATGGGCTTCCTACCGGGCACCAACTAACTGGAACTAGGGCCCAGCGCACCAGGACCCGCCAGCCCCGGGATCGAGATTAATGACTGCTCCCAGAGTGTGGCAGAGTACTCGGGAGCCTGGCTCCAGTCTCGTGATCCGAGAACTGGAAGTCTTTCAAGACTGTCTCGCCCCAGACCTCATTGAAAACCCAGGCCGAGGGAAGTCAGATGACTTGCTTGAGGTCACCCATCGTTAACCTTGAGTTTTCAGACTGTCAGGTAGATAGTGCCGTTTGCCCCCATACCCTGTTCCTTCTCGGAGGGATGCTCAGCAAACACACCAGAGGAAGTTCCAGACCTGTTTAAATGTAGTACTGTAGGTAGGAACCTTAGGAAATAAAGTTTACCTTTGTAATTGAAAAAAATATATATTTTTATCCAAACTTTGGGCTCCTTGAGGATGTTCCATTTCTACTTTTGAGCATCCTCTCTCCGAACTCCGTGTAAAATAACATTCCTAATCATTATCCTCTGCAGGGCAGGTACGCTTTTTGGATTTCTTATTCTTTTTCTTATTAATAGGAAAGTAAAGTCACAGCAGAGAACGCCAAATAAAAGTGTGTTTTCAGAGAAAGCCATGTAGGCTGGGATGGGAGTGTGAATTCTCTGACGTGTGACGTGGGCGTCAGCATTGATCACTTACCGGCATCACAGCTGTCTGAGGCTGGAAAGTCAGTGGAGCCTGTGGTCAAAGTGTTCGGTCTCTCTGTCACGTGAAGACAGGTCTCTGAAATCCTAGTCTGTACAGTTCGGAAGTGGGGATTGGCAAGTGTCCTTTGAAGCTAGCTTTTGAGGAATAGTCCATAATTAGAGATAACAGTGATATTGTTTTCACTTTCTTCCCCACTTTTAAATTTCTGTGTGGTCCTGCACTTAATATCTTCAAGTGCCACCATTTTTATTTGGTTTCTAGTAGAAGTTAGTTAAGAGAAAATGATTCAAGAACTGTATCGATTATCAGAATAATCGGATCATAACATTTCACTGCTGAAAAGGACTCGAACCCAGGGCAGCCCTTAGAGAGGCCCAGCAAGGCAGACACGGGAATGGAATCCAGGCCCCGGACGGTGGCTGTTTCCCTCATTCCACTTGGGCTTCCTTCACCTTCTCTTACTGTCTTATTACCTGCCCCTGCTCTTGGCTGCTGTCATCCTTTGATTTGTATGTGCATAGAATTGTGACCTGTTGAGGTTCATTTCTACCCTCAGACTGTAGTATGATGTATAAATGCAGACTTAATTTTTCCACATCATGGTTATTTATCACATATGTTTGTGTTTTGCAGGTGTGAGAGGATTGCTGTTATATTACAATCATGGTGCAAAAATACCAGTCCCCGGTGAGGGTGTATAAACACCCCTTTGAATTAATTATGGCTGTAAGTACTTAGTTTTTCAGTTTACTCTTTGGCTTATGTGTTTAAGTATTTGGATTTGATAATCTATAAGCTGATGTTTATTTTATTTTTTTTGTCTCCATTGCTCCATTTGTACTTTGTTTTTTATGCTTATCAACTGTATCTAGATTTTGTGAAATGTTTTTAAACTAAGTCTCTGAAAATCAAAATCTGCACATTTGTTTTTTTAAAATGCACCTCAGGGTAATGTATGAATTTGAGTTAATTTTCCCTTTGAAAACACAGAAGTGGGATGCTGACTAAATACTTCTTCCTCTGGATTTTGTTTTGTTTTGTGTTTGTTAAAGGAGAACAAGGATGTGGAGAGTGGTTTTCCCCTCTGCTGCTCTTTTGGAAGCGTGCTGTGGTCCTGGGTGAATCCGTTTTACCCAGAACTGAGCACCAGAAGATGGAGTTCAGTTTACATTATTCTAATAACTCTGCTGAATTAGTTTTTGCCCCTCATATCAAATTCATGAGTCACAGTAGAATTCCAATAATGGAGGCACTTAAGTGTTAATTTTTTTTTGTTATTTACCCGAAGAGTTTGGCTGGGGAAAAAAAAGCATTTCACTAGATGCAAAACAAAAGAGACCCATTTCCAGTCACTTTTAGATTGCTGTAGGCTATTTCCCCTGTTTCTATTCAGGTACAGTGTACACACAGGAAGTGCTCCTGTCCTGAGCATATACCCTGAGGAAAAAGTCAGGTTGAACCAAGGTCAGGATCTGCGGCATACCCGCCCACTCGGCCCCTTACCGCCGGCCCTCCCCTTTGAGCGGTGGATGAGTGTTCTCTCTTTCTGTTCTATATATACATTAAAACTCCGTGTTTTCGCCTCTGCTTCTGCTAGGCATTGTTTGTGAGGTTTATCCAGATCCATCTAGTTTTAAAAAACAAAACAAAAAGCTGAATCCCTCTCGAGGTAATAGTTTAGATTTATGGAGTTTTTTTGTTTTGTTTTAATTGAGGTATTAATGGTCACATGGTAGGTGTATAGTTTGATCAGTTTTGACAAAAGAGTGACCACACCTCTGTCAAGGTCGGACCCTATCTTCCCACTCCCTCAGAAGGTTCCTTGTGCCCCTTCTCGGTCAGGTGGGTTTTTTGGTTTGTTTCCTTGTAGGGTGGTGGTTTTTAGTTCTGTGTTTCCCTTAAATGCTAGAACTGTTCAGTATTTTATGGTAGCAGCTTATTGAACGGCTCGTTTCCTGCTTGCACGGTCTGTGCTGGTTTGGCTGTGGTTGCAGGGAGCAGAACGCACCCCGCGAGCTGGGCTGCGGGTGGAACATGCTGGGAGAGGAAGGGTGCAGAAGTCCAAGAACCCGAGCTGGGTGGGCTGAGCGAGCCCCGCGTGCCAGGCGAGGAGGGCGGTTCCCGCAGTGCGGGCAGTTGTCCCTGGAACCTCACCTCCCGCGCCTCCATGTGCCGGCCTCTCCCCACCACCAGCTGGCTGCTCTGCTCGCTCCTGTGCTCCCTCCCCTGGGCTGGCTGGCAGCACACGTACTTGGCCAGCTGGTCAAACCCTGTGGCCCCAGTTCAACTTGGTGGCATTTCTTGTTGCATTCTTTCAGTTTCTAAGAGGCCAGTTCTTGTATTTCCTAGTTCACGTACTAGACACAGACTTGATCTGGCTGTGACGGGCCAACCTGGGAATGGTCTGCCTGGCAGAGGACACAGAAAGGCAACTGGAGGGGGGGGGGGCAGTGTGTGGGAGGGGGCACCATCACTGGTATATTATGTTTTCCAAAACGTTCACTATGCTTTTCAAAGCTTGATGCAGCCACCCTGAGGGCCGGAGGCAAAGGTTGGGATGGCCTCCTCTGCAAACACTAGGTTTAACATAGAGGTATTTTGACTGTCTGCATTTTGACTTCCTGATTTTTCTTACGTTACTTTTTTCAAAATGGTCAAGTTTGCCCTGCTTGTTTTATGCAGGGATTTACAGAAGAATCTGAAATTCAAAACCACTTCCCCAGTCTTTGAAAATTAACTCAGTTCTAGATTGCTTTTTTTTTTTTTTTAAGGAATTTGCTTTTCATTTCTTTTTTACCTTTATTAATTTCAGAGAGAGAGGAAGGGGGGGGAGGAAGAGAGAGATAGGAACATTGATGAGAGAAAACATTGATTGGTCGCCTCCTGCATGCTCCTCACTGAGGATTTGGTCCACAACCTGGGCATGTGCCCTGACTGGGAATCAAACTGGTGACCTCTTGGTGCATGGGTCAGTGCTCATCCACTGAGCCACACTGGCCGGGGCTAAATTGCCTTTGTTTTAAGGCAGTAGTAATTTTCCCTTGAGTTGTTAGAAAGTATTTGTAATCTGAAAATGAAGTATGTTACCGTTTTCCTTCCAGAATTGGAAAGAAACTAGAGAGCTTGTTAAGTCTTCAGGGATTTGTGTGGTGTCATTTGCCACTTGTCCAACTTGAAGTCCCCAGCATTTCATTCACCTTGCTTTACTTTTCTTTGAGGAAAACAGTAGTATAATAGAGCGACTCTGGAAATGTTCTTTTCAGTCCCCTCAGTGAGGGAGGAGAGGGGTGCAGCTGAAGTGAGCAGAGCGGAAGGCTTCAACTGGGGTGTCCTGGGACCTCAGCCGCCAGTCACGGTGCGCGACAGTGAACAGAAGGGGCGCTGGTGGGCGGCCTGTGTGGTCCATCGCTGTGGGGTCCTGGGACAGAAAGACTGCTGGAGGAAAGGCTTTGTTGTTGTTGCTTTTTGCCCTTGTTTGTTTGAACTGAGAGGTGGTGTTGTTGTTGTTAGTATTGCCAGAAAATCGTTTCAGTAACAAGTGCCTAGGGTTAGTAGGTGCATGGTGGGTATCAACTATGTTAACTGCATTTTGATTGACTTAATGAAAAAGGTTTTGTTTTAGGGTCAGTATGCTGATAGCATTAATAAATCATGTTAGCCTTGGCTGTTGGAGTGTTGCCCCAAAGACCAAAGAGTCTTGGGTTTGATTCAGGTCAAAGGCTTGTACCTTGGTTGCGGTTCGGTGCCTGGCCCTGGTTGGGGTCATGTGGGAAGCAACCAGTTGATGTGTCTCTCTCACATCGATGTTTCTCTCTCTCTCTCCCTCTCACTCTGTCTGAAAATAAATGGAAAAATATCCTTGGGTGAGGATTTAAAACAGAAAAAGAAAAATCATGTTAATGTTCTCATTAATTCATTTGAATTAAAAAATGTAAGCAAGTGAAGTTAAATGGAGGTTTTCCAGTAGGCGTTGTGGCATTTTAGGGGCATTCTTTTGTTAGATGTTAGTCCAGAAGCAGAACGTTGTAGCTTCTGTGAGTGGAGAGTCACTTAGCTGGAGCGCCCTCTGAGGCGGGGGTCCTGCGGCCGTGGCCGCTTCCGCACCAGTGCTGGATCCTGATCTCCAGGCTGTGTTCTTTGTGTGATGGCGTGTCCCCACCCCCAGCACTGCAGGTTCCTCTGTGACCCGTCTTTCCAGTCTCAGCCAAAAGCATTTCCTGGGCTACTCCGCCTGCCCTGTGGGGAGGAGAGTTTAATCAGTGAAGGACATTCCCACCCGTTGTGCCCTGAAGGGCTTGTGGTCTCACGCGGGCAGAGGGATGTGGTCCCACAGAGAGGAGCTTGGATGCGGAGGTAGGATTCTGGCTGCTTGGATTGGAGTGCTTCATTTTGAAATTTGTAAGATGAACTCACATTTGGAAACAGACATTTTCAGGTACAACTTCTCCCCTCCTGATGTTAATGGCCCCGTAATAAATGATACAAAAGAAGACAGAGGAGCTAGAGAGTCAGTGCAGTGCATTGTGGGAGGGTGGCCAGGGAGAGGGTCCGGCTCCGCGACGAGAACTATGTGAGAAGAAGGTGTGAGTTCTCTTCCGGAGCAGAGAGACCTCTGGTAACAGGTGCGAGCGAGGGAGGACTTACCTGATCCCTTCTCGCCAGAGGACAGCTGTCATTTTGCCTAATTGGGACGTGATAGAGGTGTCGTGACTTCTGTAACATCTCACAAGTCATGACTCTGTCTGGTCCTGTTTCTACTTGGGTTTTCCACTATCACAACAAATTGTCACATGGTCCGTCATCTCTTCACTCAGCCACTCTCCCCAATTTCCCTGCTCTCAGTAGTGCTGTCCTTCTTCCGGTCCCCCTTCATCATCTATATTCTTAGCAGAAACCGCCTTTGGATTGTGCCTTCAAGTCCCGCATCTCTGTCCCTTCCTTTCCCTGCCCCGCCACCATCCACCCTGAGCCCTGGTCTCTGCAGGGAAAGACCAAGTTCACTTGTTACTTTCTTTCGTACACCTTTTATCCTGTTAGGTCATCCTGCATTCTTCTGCCAGGCTGGGTTTCCATTTGTGCCCTCGGTTTGAGTGGTCTCCTGCTACACGGCACACCCTCTGAACTCCTGTGCTCTCTCCCCCAGGCCTCCGTGCCCTCCCACTCCGCCCACCCTTAGCTCACCGAGTATGCGACTTCCCAGCATGGGCATTTAAGTCTCCTGGGCTGTCCTGGTTTGGCACTTACTGGGTCTCCTGCCCTCTCCCCCTTTCTTTGCTACATCCTTGCTGGCCGAGGTGTTTGCTTCTCCCACCTGTCTCGGGAGTCAGCCTGACTGAGCCTCGCTTCCCCGCTGTCCTGGGACACCCCTCCTGCTTCCCTCTCCTCTGGCTCCTCAGTGTAGTTATGTTGGTTCTTCCACTGGTTATTAGAGTTTCTTTTATTCTCAGAGGTTCCTGGCTTTTTTTTTTTTACATCTTTATACATGATGAAAACCCTGTTGACAAACACCATAATAGTAGTTTAAGTGATGTACTTTTTTAGGTTGAATAACCAAAAACGTACTTGCCAGTTGATTAAATGGCCACTGCAACAAAATGCACTTTTTGCTCTTTTCACCCCCTTGTTTTGTGTTTGTTTGTTTCACTGTGTGTCTTTTAGTCTCTCGCCCTTTCCTCTTGGATATCCCACATATTCCACTAAGACCACAGGATCAGAGGAAGAGAGGA